CTTGTTCAACCAAAAAGCAGCAATTTGGAACACAAAGAAAAAGTGATCATGGCTTTGGATGCAATTGAAGCTGTCTCTTCCCTCTCAATCTCCTTCCAATTTTTAGGTACCGCTCTCATTTCTTTTCTTTAATTTTAGTTATATGTACTTAATTTTTATCTTAAGTTTTCTTTTTCTTCTTTAAATAAATTTATGAATCTTCAATTCCTCTAATCAACCTCACCAATTTTGTCTACAATAGCAAAATTTGTGTTATATTTTTACTTATGTTGGTGCATTTTTCAGAGGGTGCTAATAGGAAACACAAATAGAGTGGGAGGAAAAGGAAAGGAGGAAGAGAAAAAAGAGACTAGAGACATAGTTGGTGGAAAGTTCAATGGCAATACAGGAACTTTAGAGAAAGCTCATCTCTTTAAGTATAAAATTACCAATTATTTTATATTTGCTTGCATTGTTGCTGCTATGGGAAGATTCATTTTTAGATATGATCTTGGTGTTTCTAGTGGAGTGATTCCATGGATAATTTTTTAAAAGACTTCTTTCCAAAGATATATAGAAAGACATCTCCACAAAACAGACTACTGCAAATATGACAAGCAGCTCCTCACTTTGTTTATGTCTTCACTATACTTTGCATGTAGACTTCTGCTGCAACTTACTTCTTCTAATGAAATTTTGTTTTTCTAGGCAATGAAAGATTCGAAATGCTTCAATCAATTAGAAAGGTTCATTTGAGTTTTGGTTTCTAAGATAATTTAGTAAGTTTTGGGTTTAAATCTAAATCAAAAGATTTATTTTGTTAAACAAAAAGTTTGACTTCTATTATATTATGGGAAAAAGTAATTATTTTTTATTTTAAATCCTTAATCAATTATTTTTAGACATGTGTCTAGGTAAAAAGGTAAGCACATGAATCATTTTTCACCACATCATCTGCCACGTGGTAACGAAGTCATAAAAATACTACATTGACATGCCACATGGCATATGACGTACTATAAAAGTGCCACATAACAAATGATGTACTATAAAAGTGCTATCGTTGACTAACAGAATTAGTCAACTATTAATGGGAAGAGCTTATATGACTCGAAATAAAAGTTTAGGGCTAATTTGAACCTAATAAAAAAAAGGCTGAATTGACTTTTTTGATATAGTTGAGGGACTTATTTGAGTATTTAGCTAAAAAAATTCATGTTAAAATAACAATAGTTTAAACAACTAGGAAGCTTCTAGAGGAGCAGGGAGGTCAAGGGGAAGGAAAAAAAAAGTGGAAAGTCCAAAACATCATTTAAATTTAATGAAATTACAATGCACAAGTTTCAAGCATAGAGGTAGTGATTTGTGGGTTAGAATTTCATGAAATAAAGGTGTTTTTGACTTTTCATTCCGCCTAACCTTCCTTCTCCTTTAACACTTCTAACAACCCCAAATCTTTATGTTCTCTGCTTTAAGAATAGATCTTTTTCCCTCTAACTAACTTTTTCAACTTTCTTTTTTCATTGTTTTTCCCAATTCTTTCTCATCTCGACTCCCAAAGCACTTTAGAAATGTAAAAAATAAAATAATAAAATAAATTTCGATAATTCATAAAAAAATTAATCTAAATCTTTAAATCTATCAACAAATGAATATAACTATCCCATCAAACAACACAATCAAATACAAGTCAAATCAGGTTGAATCAACCCAGCCTAACCATTTTAATATCAAAGTATTGAAATGCCCAACACCATCTCACATATGAGGAGTGGACTTATATTATCTCATGTATGTTTTGTTGATGATATTATGCTTTTTGGAGCTGCAAATATTAATCAAGTAATTGTTATGATAAGAGTACTTGACAAATTTTGTTTGGCATCAGGCCAGAAAGTTAACCTTGGAAAATCAAGAATGTTAGTTTCCTTTAATATTGGTCATCAAAATGCAAAAATTTTGAGTAGGAAAACCAAAATCCCTCTAACTAAGGATTTGAAAAATATCTTGGAACGCTAGTGATTCATGGGAGAATAACCAAATCTATTTATTCTTGGGCACTTTAGGTTAGGCCATGTACCTGTAGAAAAGATTAATGTAATCCACCAACATTCTCCAATTTTTGACTGATCAAATGAATTAATATGTGAAATCTGCCCTTTGGCAAAGTAAAGAAAACTTTCTTTTCAAACTCATGTTCAAAGTACAAATGTTCTTTTTCCATTAATTCATGTTGACATTTAAGGACTTTATGAAGTCCCAACTATGTTAGAAGAAAGATATTTTCTAACTATTGTGAATAACTTCTCTCAATTCACTTGGATTTTCTTAATGAGAAATAAATTTGATGTCTCAACTATTATTCCTTCCATTGATACATATGTACAAAAATAGTTTAATGGCTCAATTTAGGTTATAAGATCAAATAATGAGAATGAGTTTAGACTTACTATTTTTCCATCAAAACTAGAATTTTTCATCAATTATCTTATGTAGATAACCCTCAGTAGAATGGTGTTGTTGAGAGAAAACACCAACATATTCTAATGGTTGCAATAGCCTTAATACATCAGTCAAGTATCCCTTTTCACTTCTAGGGAGATGCAATCCTCACTACAGTTCACATAATTAATAGGGTATATAGCAAATAATTCACAACAAGTCATAATTTGAATTGTTACATGGAAAACTACCATCATATGACCATCTTAACGTCTTTGGATGTTTATGTTTTTTTTCCACAACACAAAATAGAAAGAAATTGGAGCTAAGAGCAAGCAAATGCATATTTTTAGGCTATCCAAATAATGTCAAAAGGCATAAGGTATATGATCTTTGTGCATAAAAGGTCTTGATATCAAAGAACATTGTTTTTCATGAGCATGTGTTTCCATTCCATTCATCAAGCAACAATATGCAATCTGATGCATTTTATCAAACACATAGTTTGCATGATGAATGCATGGAAGATTTTGATGTTAATCACCATATCAGCCTTACGAACAGAACACAACACCTGAATTGCATTCCTTTGAACCTTCTTCATCATATAAAACATTTTCTCCATTAAATTCAAATAACATTTCCTTTAATTCACCCTCAGTTGATAGCATACTACCAACTGCAGACAGTCTTAATATTGATATAAGCATTTCTTAGGAAGTAAAGGTACCAACCAGAAAAAGCACAAGATAAAGACAACCTTCTAAGTACTTTGATGCATATTATGTTGACATACCTTCACAATCTAATTCTGTCACCTTTCATCCAATAACTAAGCACCTATCAACTAAACAACTCTCACCTGCACATAAGGCATGTACCATTGCTTTATCCCATGTTCAGGAGCCAAACTCTTATCAAGCTGTAAATTATTCTCATTAGAGAGAAGCTATGGACTAAGAACTAAAAGCTTTGCAAGACAATGGTACATGGACCATAGTACCTCTACCTTCAAATTCACATGTGATTGGCTAAAGTGGGTGTATAAGATCAAGTTGAAGGCAAATGGTGAAATTGAAAGATATAAGGCAAGATTTGTAACGAAATGGTACAATCAAGTAGTAGGTTTTGACTATTACAAGACTTTTAGTCCTATAGGAAAATAGTCCACTGTTAGAGTGTTTTTTGCTCTAGTTATAGCCAATAGTTGGCCTTTGTCACAATTAGATGTTAATAATGCCTTCCTTAATGGTAATTTAGATGAAAACGTCTATATAGAGATTCCATAGCGTTATGTTATCCAGGGGGAATGTCCAAAAGGATCTAAACTTGTTTGCAAACTACATAAATCCTTATATGGTTAAAGTAGGCTTCTAGACAGTGGAATGACAAACTTACTACTTCACTCTTGTAATTTGGATTCACTTAATCATTAACAGATCATTCTTTATTTACGGTGAAGATTCTTACTAGAAATTTCATTGCTCTCTTTGTGTATATGGATGACATACTAATTAGGAGTACATCTACTAATGTTGCAACAAAGTAAAAGAGTTTTTAAACTCAAAATTCAAGCTCAAGGACCTTGGAGATGTCGGATACTTCCTTGGACTTGAAATCATTGACATATCAGGAGGAATCTTTACACGTTAGAGAAAGTACACTTTACATCTTCTTGAAGATTATGGGATGTTGGGAGCTAAACCTAAAAGCATCATTGACTACAATTATAAATTGCAGAAAGCACAAGATAGAGAATTATTGAAGGAGCCACAAGCTACAGACAACTCATAGGTAAATTGCTATATCTCACCTTTAGCAAGCTTGATTTATCTTATGCAGTGTAAACATTATCATAGTTTATGGGTAGATCTAGTCAGATGCATTTGACAGCAGCTCACAAAGTATTGAAGTAATTAAAAATGCTCATAGACAAGGAATTTGATAAAAAGAAATCAAACCTCAAAATCACAACTTACTTAGACAGTGATTGAGCCAAATGCCCTCATAATAAGAAATCAATCACAAGATACGGTGTGTTTATTGGAGACACTCTTGTTAGTTGGAAATCTAAAAAGCAAGCTGTTGTAGCTCACAATTCTACTGAGGTAGAGTATCGTTCCATGGCATCCACCTACTGTGAACTAATATGGCTGAAGCACTTGTTGATTGATTTTGGGATGGATCATGATGGTCTATAGACTTGTATTTAGATAGTCAATTTGCTATACATAGCAACAAATATTTGGTGTTTCATGAAAGAACAAAACACCTCAAGATGGACTGCCACTTCATTCGAGAAAAGGTGTCACTAGGTATAATTAAGCCTTTTTACATATCCACTGAAGGAAAAAGTCTAAAAAACCCTTGACATCAGACTAAAGTGCCATATACAGGTTAGGCTAGATTGGACACACAACTAGCACTAACCGTTTACGCCACTCTCCAAACAAACCTTAAAGAAATTCCGCGGGACGCAACGAACCAATTTGGCGGGAATACGCGTGTCAAGCATCCATTGCAGTTCCAGCTCAGATTTCCCGCCAGAAAAACCCTCCTATATACTGCCCGATCAGTCCGCCCCAAACCTTCCCTCATTTCCACTCCTCCGCCCACCCACTCCTTCTTGCTCCACCTCCTTCTGTTTCCCTTTTATTTCTCTGTAAGCCATGAGCTCCTTCGATTCTCTCAAATCGACCCCTCTGAAATCCAAAAAATCTCTAAACCTAGCTTGCGAATCTCCCGTTTCTAAAACCCCAGAAAAGCACGCCTCCCTCCTCCCCAACCGTGCTCGTAACCGTGGCGTCGCCCTCTCCATCAAGGAGATCCGGCAAGTGGCCCAGACCCGGGCCAAACCTCCGACCGACCAAATCAAATCGGCTCGGAAACAGATCTTATCCTGGCCCACTGAGTCTCCGGCACCCAAAACCTCCGGTGACCGTCCCGATAAACTCCCTGAAAAGTAAGTTCCATTTCTTCTTAACCTAAGTTCTTTTATTGTTGTTATATCATTTGAGAAAATGGTTATTCTTATTGATTGAATACTTGTTGGACAGGTATGAGATATTGTGTGAGTTTTTTGATAGCTTGGACTCTGCAATCCGGCTGATAAAATTGAAGGGGTCAATGCCAACTTTTACTAATATCAGCCCCAAAATAGAGTGTTTGACCGAGAGGTAACTTCAGTTAATCTTGTCAAGTAGTGCTAATTAATGGGTTTTTTCTGTGTCATTTGGTTTATTTACTTCTATACGTTTGGCGGTTTGATGTTGATTTACAGGAGGTTTTCATTCGGCCACTTAGCTCAATTGAAGCATATATTACCAGAGGTGATTGAGATAAAGAGAATGCTGATCTTTGATGAGAAAACTAGTTGTATGAAACCAGATCTCCACATTAGCATCATTGTGGATGCGATTGACTGTGGGGACAAGTCAAAATCAGGAACTAAGAATCTGAATGTTAGGAGGGTTTTTCGAGCTCGGCTTGCAGATTTTCTCAAGGCTCATCCTGAGGTATTCATTTCTGTTTAGTAATTTTGGTTGTGCATTTCTTTGCTCTTTTTTACAGATTAATAATAGTTTATTAATGTTGTACTTTTGTTTGCATGAGCATGTGCTAAACGTATATGAAAAACTTAGCAACATGACAACCTGCAAGCCTTTAGCTTCAACTTATTAGCATCAAACGGTTGCCTTTGTTAATAAGGCAGTAAAAGTCTTATAGCGTCAAAGTAAGATAAACACTGTACTATTCAATATTCACATTCACACAATCATTGCAACTGGCATCTACCTAGACTAAAATCTGATGGATATTTAACACAGCCATGAATTGTGGACAGGCATCCCCATTGAAGGGAGCAAATTATGTGTATACAAAACATAAAGGCAATATTTGGGATGGGGTGATCACCTCAAAATCCATGGCAATCTTTACCTTGTGATTAGAACACCTTGTTTGGTAGGAACTTGGTGATCCTATATGACAGCAATGTTAGATCACTGAGGGTGATTAGATCACTAACTTGAGAGGTAATTTATTTCCCATCCAAAAGGGTGGGAAAATCTTTTCACCTAGGTTTATTTGCACGATTTTAACCTTTTTAACGTGAGCATAAAAAACTTGCTTCCTACCAAAATAAAAAAAAAAATTACACATATAATACTAAGTTTTTACTTTTTCAAGTATTCTTTGTAGCAACTACAAGGATAAGACATAGTTTTCCACATTTTCTTTGATTATGTATATAATCTTTGTTTATTCACTATTATCTTGATAAATTAAATACATTTTCCATTCAAAGGTTTTTCATCTAATTAAAAGGTTAGAAGTTCACTTATCAAAAATAAATATATTTCTCATATTTCTTTATTGATTCAATTAATTAAACTTATTTAAGAAATAAAACATTAATATTTCACAACTTGTTATGTTATTATAACATTAAAATTATGAGCAATTTTTAACTTTTAGAACACGGTTATTTACTTATTTTGGTACTTATTACAAAATGATATTTGATTTTTATATGATACCAAATATGGTGATTTCTAATCCCTAGTAATTAATGATTACTAACTAGAATCGTACCAAACATGGTTAACTTAAATTACTGGTAATGGCATTACCATAGTAATAAGACCACCCCTGTGATTAGATCACTGTGATCTTGAAAAGTATGCTGTTCCCTTGTACAAATATGGATCAGTCAAAGAATTTCGTCTGTTTGGTTGCTTCACCTACCCCCAAACACCGCCAAAATAGTCCAATATAATCTACTATAAGGCAGAAAGGCCTTGTCTCAAACCTCTCAGATGCCCAATAGTCGTAGATGTTTCTTTCCCACATGTTTAAAATGGGCACACAAAGGCAACCTGGCAGGAAACACGTCTTTTTTTGTTATGCATGTTAATATACCAATTGACTATGTTGAAACATTTGGGGCATTACTTTTGGTTATAGTTTTGAAATTTCTAGTCGACTTTAACATTTATTTTTTGTGGGAATTGAGTTTTAACATTTAAGCTTGAAGTTTACTAGTTATAAAATGAAGTTATGAAGCTGTAAAAAACAAGCACTATAAAGCTGTTCAAGTATCATGTTGTGTTGACTTTAGTTTTGGTGTTTTCAGGGTGATGACATTCCAGAAGATGACCTACCAGAGCCGTTCAATCGTTTAAAGCAGAACCTGCGATTGAACATGATCAAAGGACCTATATCATTTTCATCTGATGAGTCATCAACTGATTCACTTACAGAGCAGCAATCATTGACAGGACAAGGTGAAGTTATTCTAGACGAAACTCGACCACAGCCATCCAATCACTCAGATTCCAGTTCAAAAATGTCTGTGGAGACATTAGCTGATGTAGTTAATGAGCAGCAACCTGTGGTAGCATCTCATGTATCTCAATCATTTCGAAAGCGCTTTTCCCAGAGAGTCACAAGCAAAGCTCAGGAGGCTGTCCAAAAATGTTTAAAGGTTTCCCTTCAGTCTTCAAATTTTCAAGTTCTAGAGATATGTGCTGACGGATTTGCCATCAGTGACAAAACTAGCTCTGCTTCGACTCAATCCCCAACTAAATTGTTATCTGAACCAACTACTGGGGAGATGAGTCATAAAACTTGTCTACCTGCAACTCCAGTTAAAGAGATAAATCCCTTGAAAGCTGAAGATGGGTCCCCTACAAAAGCTGGCACTATTCTGTCCACTCCTGCAAAACTAGCTTCAACGCCTGCTAGGCTGATGACTGCCACCCCTACTCTACAGCCAAGGAAGAGATGTTACATGAGCCCAGATGAGGTTTCTTCCAGTTCATCAAACAAGTTAGTTAGGCGGCCACCACGTACTAGGTCCTTGAAATTTGACACTCCTGTGAAGGAAGAGAATATTGTTGATGAAGTACAGGAGATGGCAGGCAAACCACTTGATGATGACGAAGATGATGCTCTTTCAATTCTGCCTGAGAGCCTTCTGCATTCAGTAAGCCCGCTACGAATCCTCTTGGCTATCATCCTTTTTAGAGCTTGAATTCCATCTGCATGCTTTACTAACTAGTCCAAGATATTAGTCACCTAATGTTAACTTACCCACACAAACATTATTTTGCTCTTTGCTAGTTGTTATCCAGTAGATTTCTTGGCATCATTTAGCATGACATCTAGTTGGAAGTGAACATTGAATAGTGCATGAGGCAGTAATGGTGTTTGATTGCATGAGTGCATGGATGGCAGATCCCAAGGCATTTTGGTCATTTACTTGATTCAGCACCTGCTGCATGGTCTCTGACTCTCTGGTGGATTCGCTTGTCACTACATGATTTCCTTATTGCATGTTGTGAATGGGTGACGGGTGGCTTCCATGTCTGTAGCCATCATCAGATTGGTATCAAGGACCTTTTGACAGATTGGTGCTGGGTTTGTGGTTATGCAGTACTTTAAATTGAATGTTGTGTTATGTGGTTCGTAACATTATGTCTGATGCAGTATTTTAATAGTGGCCTGTGTTATGCACCCAATATTCCTGTATCATCAGATGGGTTTGAGTCCTGTTGGTTGTGTCCTGTTTTCTTTACTATGCTGCGTATGAGGCTGAGTGTTGCTGTGTAATATCAGTCATGTTAGGCGTTTGAATACTTAGTTAGAATGTGATCTGTTTAGACAGGTCCACTATGGATCTGTTCTGTATGCTCTCTTGTTTTGACCAAAATTGTATCCACTTAGGATGATCAATAAAATTCTAATAGGACGGAGCCAAGAAAAACAATGTAAGCATCTATTATCTTTGCAGATAAGGGAGAAAGAGAGGAAAGCGATTGAGGAGCGAGATCCAGCAATCTCGCGAGCAAAGAGACGACAACAGATGATTGCCTGCCTACCTAAGCTCTTCAACATGATTCACTATCTATTTCAGTCAATAAAGCGCTCTGTTATTACCAAAGAGGAGCTTATGCACAAAATAATTGCTGGCCATTGTGATATTGTTGATAGAGGTAAGCCTTTATGCTAACAGTAAATAGTTAATACCTCATGGTATTTGTTTGGTTTAGAAAAGCATTATCTGAGCTAAATCTTTAACTGTTTCACAGGAGAAGTTGAAGAGCAGCTAAAACTGTTGCTAGAGCTAGCTCCGGAATGGATATCTGAAAAGCAGGCCTCTGCCGGGGATTTACTTGTTTGGTGAGTCTAACATGGTTGATACTTGATATTGGCACTTTTTCCCCCATTTGGCATGGTCATGATTGCAGACGAGCGTGCACATAGTTCATTAAAAAATCTCAAATAAGTAGGCATTTTGTAAGACATTTAAAAAAATGGTAACATATGTTTGTATGTTTATTAGCTAAATCATAAAGTATGTTTTTATGTTTTAGAAAATGCTTCTAACTGATGGACTTGGCTATCTTAATTTATTTTCAGCATCAATAAAGTGTCAAGCCCAGAGTCAATACGAGTGCGGCTTCAAGAAGCAAAATGAATGGGAGGATTAGTGCGCAGTTCCATTAAATTATTCAAGAAATCATATTGACAGCTGGAGTTCAAGTTTCAGTCTAAATTCAGCTTTTTGTAAATTTTTGATACAAGGTTGTTTTATGTATGACCATACTTAGGTAACAGATGTAGGAAGGTAAGATGAAATCTACTATTGAGTTTGATTCACTATGTCAATAAAAGTGATTGTTCTTGACTTTGTGTTTAAAGCTGCCAAAAGAAAAATGAATCATTCCAGAGCCTGTCAAATTATTTGAGATGATTTATTAAGTATGCAACAACAGACCAACGTAAATGAGTTTTTGATACTGATCTATAGGTGCTTGTGGCTACTGTGTTAAAAACAAATCAACTTCGGAACAGAAGAGGACAAATTATTTAGCCAATCCTGGACTGCCTGAAGCACTTTGATGTTTCGTTCAAGGTACCTCCTTTTCTCCTGATGTTAGGTCCTCCTTGTAGGTTACCTCTAGCCCATGACAATGTGAAGAAGGTTGCTCTTGGGTATTGATGTAAGCCTGATCTCGATCCTTTCCCCACAACAGCAAGTATAAACCAACGATAACGAGGACTGCTCCCAGTATCCTGAAAGATAAAACAAAAATTAAAGAGCATCCAAGGGATTGTGTGGTGCTTCTGTAATTACGAACTGAACCATGGCTTTACCTCCCCGCGTGTAGCTTTTCACCAAGAATAAAGTATGCGAAAATAGCCACCATAACTGTTGCTAGGGGAGAAAACATGGAGACAAAGACTGGCCCTTTCTCTTTCATGCACCAAAACTGAATGAAGATAAAAATACCAGAGCATACTATCCCCTGGCATTCAATTTCATCCTACCAGGCTCAGAACAATGTTGTGAACAAATATATAACATATTTAAACTGTTCTAACTGTCATGAGATTGCTTACAGAATATGTAATGGCCCAGAAATGAATACTGAACATCTTGATCGACCATGCTTTTGGTCTGTGCTGTAACAACACTGCAAAGACGGCTGATTGTCCGCCTCCAATACAGTCCATCCATGCTGTCAGTGACAGTTGCGCAGGATATTTCTTCAAAGTAACTGCCTACAAGTTCCATATGCATTTGCAATGCCTTCAAGTCAGGAGAATTTCCACAATCATCTTTTACTTTATAGAAATTATATCCTCTGTGGCTTCTTTTTTATCTAGTAATACTGCATGTTTCTTATACAGTTAACACAACTCAACTATGTGATTTTCGTTGAAGTGACTACCTGCATAATGAACCATACAGCCCATGTTATGCAACTAGCAATAGTAAGGATTGATCCTTTCACCGAGTTCTCATGAACAGAAGGAAGTCTTTCCATGTGAATTGGAGCAGTCGACAAGCTGTGAACTGCAGGTCCTTTGTACAAAGTGATGATCGTGACACCTGCCAAGGATGTTAAGGTTCCAAGGATTTTAGCTATCCCACGAGGGCTCCTGACATTAACAACCTCCATCCTGGGCCAAGTAGGTGAAGAAAATTGATTGTTCATGAAATCTCTTATGCAATTATAATATTTGAAGTAAAGATTTCCGTGCTATGTGCTTTGGAGTCTTATCCCTACCTGAGTATGACAGCTATTACAAAAGTTAGGGAAGAAACGGTGTTGAACACAGATGCAACGAATGTTGGAGAAGTGTATCTCAAGCTTGCATAGTACATGTTCATGGTGAAGCCCACTCTGTTTTTCCATTTAACAAAATCTGTAAGTGCTTTTAACTTTTATGATGCAAATTAAAATTTGGAACTTATTTGCATTTTAAGAGCAGAAGATTATTTATGGCCTACTCAACCCTATGAGGGAAAGCAAAAATAACTCCAAAAACAGTGCAACTGTCATCTTTGGCCTTGATTGTCTGCACAAACAAAAAAACATCAACCTTGGTATAATAGTAAAGCAAAAGACTTTTTGATTTTATGGCGCATAAGTATAGCCGGGTAGAAAGTTGATGAGTAGTATCAATTTGTACCAAACCTTTCACGGAAATAGGCAAAAGGAGACATCAGCAAGCCAGCAATGATATACCGATAAGTTACATAGACATGAGGATTCAGCCCTTGATTGAAGGAAGCTTCCACGATGAAATATAGAATTGTGTAACTTATCTGAGCTAGAACCATACTCAGATGTGGCTTGTATCTTGCCAGAGGCAGCTTGAATGCCCATGCCATATTGTGTGTATGGTGAAACCTCTTTGCTTCCTGTTTGCTTATAAATGGAACAGAAAACCCATCTACACGGATTTCTTGTAGATACGGTTTTGCTGTTGGATAGGCTGCTTGGTTCTCTCTGGTCCTTTTGTGAGCTCTCTTCGATGCTCTCTTGCTTTGTTGTCTGATTTTTGTAGCAGTAATTTTTTGTGTTAGGCTGCCATGCTTTTGAGCAATTGGCTCGTTTCTGTTTGGCTTTGTTTTGTTAGGTTCTTTGCTCTATGGTGCTACAAATTTCTTTTTGAGTAGCAGGTTCTGGTGGGTAATTGTACAGTCTGCTTCACCCTCACTAAGCTTTAGGTCATGAGAGTCTCCTGTGAAAGCTTGAGACTCGAAACGGCATGGTAGTGATGAGAATAATAAAAGTTTACCTTTAGTAAAAAATAATATGCATGTTGAGCATCTTGTTCTCTGTGAAATTTTGATGTTCAAGATTAACAGTTGACCGCAAAAAAGTTACAGAATGGAGAAAATTAATAGAGCATATATCATTCAGGATTTTTCTCACCATTTAGCTACGTACCCAACTTATAGGTCTCATTCTTTGCCCTTCCCAATATTGTTCGAACTTTTTCATTGTAACATTCGGGGATTAGAATCTGGCTGCAAGGAATAATAGTACTTAACAACTTCTACAAAAGGCTTAAAAGCTTTAACCACCATTAATGTTTTCCCCATTCTTTCCATTATTATCAGAGAAATTAAGTGACACTTTTGCTTGGATTTAATACCTAATAAATTCGATTGAAATCAAACATGGGACAGATATATAGCATATTAGCATCTGTCGTAATTATGAGCACTAATATGTCATCTTGTCCAGTGAACATTGTAATGCAGGAATAATACTGAAAAGAAAAAGGAATTCAATAATTTAAGCAAGTTGGAGCATTACGCAAGTAACAATCAACATTGGTTTTCTTTCTTCTTCTTCTTCTTCTTCTTCTCCATTCTCTTTTAGCAGAAATTGATTCTGTTGTGATTTAGTACCAAGTTGTGAAATGACAAGAAAAGTATACCAAATGGAAGAGAATAAAGCAATCACCCGAAAACGACAATACTATAGTTATGTCCACATGTGAAGATAATGAAAATATTTCATAATAATCAAAACAATTATATTTACAAAGATTGTTGCCCTCAACCTCGTGAAATCTTAAGTCTTTTTTCTATGGCATTTTGATCTTCTCTCTCAGGTTTCTTTTGTCTTTTTTATTTTTTTATGTCTCCTTCATGGTCCCTCCTCTTCTGCCGACGCTACCTCCTCCTTGTCTGTGACCTTTATAACATCACAATGTGAAGAAGATTGCTCATGGCTCTTGGTGTAAGACTGATCTCTTTCCTTGCCCCACAATAGCAAGTACAAACCAATGATAACCGTGACTCCACCCAGAATGCTGCACGGTTCAAATAAAATGAAGAATCCATTGCAGTGTGATTATAGTGCTTTGTCAAGTTTGAAATGAAATATGTATTTTACTTCTTACCTGCCTGTATATAGTTTCTCACCAAAAACAAAGTATGCGAGAACTGCCACCATAACTGTTTGAAGAGGATTAAACATGGTTGCAAAAACTGGCCCTTTCTCTTTCACGCACCACAACTGAAGGAAGATGACGAACCCGGAGCCAACAATTCCCTGGCGTTCATTTTCATCCGACCAGACTTAGACATGATTCTGAACAAATAGGTAACATATTTAAACTGTTCTAATTATGGCTATGAAATTACTTACAGAATATATAATGGCCCAGAAATTTATACTGAACATAGTGATCGACCATACCGCCGGTTTGTGCTGTAAGAACACTGCAAACACAGCCGATTGTGCTCCGCCGAGACAGTCTATCCATGCTGTTAGAGACAGTTGTGCCGGATATTTCTTCAGAGTAAATGCCTACAAGGTTACATGCTTTTAAAATATTGTTAAGAATTTCAGAGTTAGCTATCACAATTATCCTTTAGTTTTTGGAGAATTTAACCTTAGAGACATTCTTTTTACTCAGTAATACAATATAAGGAAACACCATCTCCTTTGTTTAGGTGGGAGGGGGGGTGCAAAAACCAATTAAAATTTAGTTATCCATTAATTACCTGCATAATGTACCATGAAGACCATGTCATGCAGCTAGCAATAGTAAGGATTGACCCTTTCACCCAGTTCTCACGAATAGAAAGTACTCTTTTAATATGAATTGGAGCATCCCGCAAGCTTTGTAGTGCAGGTCCTTTGTACAAAGTGATGGTTGTGACCCCTGCCAAGGATACTATGGTTCCAAGTATTTTAGCTATCCCACGAGGGCTCCTTACATCGACAACCTCCAGCCTGCACCAAAGAGCATGACGAAGATTGATCATGAAATCTCCTTTTTAATCTTTAAATAACAGAGGTCATCGATTATGCATTCCTAGCCTACACCTGAACAAGATGGCAATTACAAATGTCAAAGACGAAACGGTGTTGAACGCTGCTGCAACGAATGTTGGAGAAGTGTATCTCATACTTGCAAAGAACATGTTAAAGGTTAAAGAAACCCTGTTTTGCATCAAGGGGAAGAATAGGAAGAAAAGTTGTGTTAAATTATATATGGACAAAACAATCTTTGAATCTCTTTCGCATTAATTATATAGAAGTGACAGAGTAGTTATGAATATTGTCTACCCTAAGGGAGAAACCAAAAACAACTCCAAAAACAATCGTAATGTGAGCTTTGGCCTCGATTTTCTGCACAAAAAAGTAAAATCAATTAGGCAGTGAACCTTTCCATTCTAATTAAACTGTTAGTCATCAAGCGAATAGTTTAAACTAGTGTGTTTTCTTGTAGTTAAAGGGGTACAATAGGTGGAAGTCGATAAGTTATTGTATATCCTACCTTTCAAGAAAATAGGCAAAAGGAAACATCATCAAACCAGCTAGGCTAAGTCGATAAGTGACATAGACATATGGATTTAGCCCTTGATTGAAAGCAGCTTCTGCAATGAAATACACAAACGCTGAACATATCTGAGATAGAACCATGCATAGATGGGGTTTAAATCTTGCAAAAGTAGCCTTCAATGCGCATGCCATATCTCTTGCTCGTACAACGGTACTGTTTCTGCCTCTTTCTGCTTGCTTATTGACGGAGCAGGAAATGATATAGAGCAAAGAAAAAATGAAATTGCAGGAAAGCAGAGAGTCTCTGTTATGAGAACAAAGAGCAGGGACAAGCAAGGGAAGAAAAGTAGTCAGATGGAAACAAGGTTTTCATACATACATCTGAAACATATACAAAACTTATATATGAAACATACATGTTAACACTTGTAAAAGCATTAAGACAAGTGTTTAATGCAAAGCTTACTGTAGCATGCAAGTCAACACGTCGTACACATAACAGCTTAAATATGTCAATTCTAAGTACAACGAAGCTATCTGAATTAAACTAAAAACACATGTTATTCAAGGAAAATATCATCTTAACTGGAAATGCAGCTGGAAATGCAGTTATACTGTTGTTGAAATGATATCAGAGTTCTGGCTTTGATGTTGTAAGCATCACGTTCTCCATGAAAGTAGGGTTTGGTTACTGGCTGCAGCAGAAACATAGAGAGGTGAAAATCAATGGAGTATCCTTGTTATAATAACTGAGATTTGTATTATTTTAGCTAGCCTTGTTATGACTCTTTGTCTGTTACAAGTAGCTTTACTAGGATTATCAAACCTTTTTCAATCGGAAAAAGATTTTGGGCAACACTTCTTCTCTTTCCCATTACAGCATAGTGAACACCCCGCCATAAACATGAGAGAATGTGACTTGTCTCTCCTTGAATTTCAATACCTAACTTCTGTTATATAAAACAAAGTAAAAACTGTTACATCCGGATTAGTCTCTAGAAAAGTAGCATCTGTCATGTTGATTTGTCGGCACAAATGTCATCTTGCAAATCGATCAACTGTTGTGATGTTAAGAATAATACGGAATGCAAAGCAATCCTTTTTGTGGGTTTTCCACTATCGATTATTTTCAAACATCTAAAGTAAATGAATTGACTGATTTTGCGAGTTGGAGCACTTACATAGACATGTGATTCATTTAAATATTAATATTCTTCTAGTGGTTACTCTTTTATAAGTAGAAAAATGTGATTGAACCCCATCCAGCTGCTCTCAATCATTGCTCTCAGAATAATAGCACTTTGCAAAGCTATGTTTGTCATTTTTTTTTCTTTAAGAAAAGACAAGAAATCTGAGTGTAAAACATATGTGATGACGTGGCCAATACCTTTGTGATATAAAAAATGGGTGACACTGTTGAAGCATGATATCAAATCTGGTAAATCAGAATAGCATAGTTTTGGAGAGAAGAAACAACCGTTTGAAGAAGAAGGAAGTTGATGTAGACGTCAAAACGGGGAGTTTCACCTTTACTAAGCTGTTGCTTCTATACGACTTATTTTAGTACCGTTTTAGTTAGGTACTGTTTTTGTATAAGGCAAAACGTTACCGTTGTAGGTCATTTTGTCATGATATGTTAGTTTGTTTCTTTAAATGCTTGTTGTTACTGTCGTTTTACTTTCTTCAAGGCTTAAGAGCCACTTTGTTTTTCTGTTTTTACTATCTATTGTTTTGCGCAAAAATCTAGGCTTGTTTTCTTTGCTTTGTGGTTCTTGATCCTACATTCCCCGTGTGAGTATTCCCGAGGCTTAAATGAAGCTTTGGTGATTCCTATTTTCAATGCTTAGTATATAAGCTTTATAAGAAATAAAAATTTTGTGAGCTTTTATTACAAAAAGTTCTATTATTTTCTTTCCACAGTTCATCTCTGTTTTTTAAGATTTATAGATTTGTAGAAATCACTTTTCATCTAAAAACTCATTAGAGCAAACTTCTTGAGGGACCTGTGACTTTTCAATATCTTTTGAATCTTTTTCAAACCGTCCAAATTTTCAGCTCAAATGGCAATTGCAAGCTTCAACACTTTAACACCTTCCATTTTCTCAAGCATGAACTATCCATTCAAAGTAGTAAAAATGAGAGCTTATTCGAAGGCTTTTGATCTTTAGATAGTGGTTGAAATAGGTGAGAAACCTCCTATGTAAAGATATGCCAATCCAACTTTAGCACAAATTAAATAGCACAATGAGGAAGTTGCCAAACATTATAAGGCACTTTCTTACCTTCATTTTCTACGTCAAAAGCTATCTTTGCTAGGATAATGAATTATGATGATCCTAAGCAAGTATGGAACATATTGAAGGAAGAGTTTCAAGAGAGTGATTGAACTATGCGATGCAGATTTTGAATTTGTCTAGACAATTTGAAATGTTGAGAATGAAAGAGGAAGAGAATATCCAAGATTACTCTGATAAAGTGATGTAAATGGTGAATCAATTGAGACTTTTTGGTGAAGATGTTACTGATCGAAGTTTTGTGAACAAAACTGTGGTAAGTTTACCAAAGAAAATCAAAGCAAAGATCTCATCACTAGAGGATTCAAAAGATCTTACTAGAATTTCAACTATAGAGTTAATAAATGTTCTCTCGACTCAAAAGTAGAAAAGAGCTTTCAAATTAAAAGGCCTTGTTAAAAATGCTTTGGTTGCTAAAACGAAAAGCCTAAAAGTCAAGGTGAAGGATCAAGAAAGCATGAAGGTAGGGGAAGTAAGACTAATGATGGTAACTAGGGAAAGTAAAAAGAGAAGTTTCCCCCATGCCCCCATTGTAAAAAGAAGAATCACACTCCCAAATATTACTAGTATAGGCCCAACATGAAATGTAGTGCCTATGAACAACTTGTTCATGTTGAAAATGTTTGCAAAGCAAAGAAAATATGTGGTGAAGTCACAACTGCTATGGCAAAGTAGATTGAAAAAGCTAAAAGACTAGTACTTATGGTTAAAATGGGAATTGATTCAAATATGAAGAATGCGAGGTTGTTGGATAATGCATGTTCTAAACTCTCACTGGTAATGAAGAGTTATTTTTTGATCTTGACAAAAGCTTCATGCTCGAATTAAAAATGAAGATGGAGTGTATCAAAAAATTGTTGGCAAATTGTAGTTGAAAGAGTCCCAAGTATTAAATATATTACTGATGTTCCTTATGTACTTGAAGCTGATCAAAACCTACATTATGTTGGTAAAAAACATTATGCATTGTTGTTTAAAGGTGAGTTATGCACTTTATTTGACCTTTTTGGAGATGAGATATTAACTGTTGAAATGAAAAACAAGTATACCCTTTGAACTTCATGAAAATTGAGCATAGAGTTTTTATTAGTGAAGATGATGTTTCTAAACTATGGCATATGAGGCTAGGTCATGTCATTACAAATCATTAAATAAGATGGTTATTGATGAATTAATTGAAAGCTTACCTGATATTAGTAGAACATAAAATGTGTGTCAAGTGTGTCAATTTGGAAAGCAAAGTAGAAAACCTTTTTTAAAACAAAGTAACTAGTATGCAAAACAAAAACTTGAGCTTCTACATACTAACCTATGTGGACCTATGAAAACCCCTTCATTAAATCACCATAAGTGCTATATTGTGTTTATTGATGATTTGACTAAATTTAATTGGGTATATTTTCTGAAACAGAAATCAGAAGCATTAAGTAAGTTCATAAAGTTCAAAGCATTAGTTGAAACTCACTCTAAAGGAAAAATCAAGACTTTGAGGACTGATAATGGCTTAAAGTATACTGCTGCTGAATTTGAGGACATGTTGGTCAAACTAAGTATTGAGCATCAACTCATAGTAACATATAACCTTCATCAAAATGGGGTTTTAGAGAGAAATAATAGAACTTTGGTTGAAATGGCAAGCTATGTTTGATGTTTCAAAAGAGTATGCCAAGAGTATCTTAGGCAAAAGCTATTAACATGGCTAATTATATTATAAATTTAACCTATACAAGAGCTTTGCCAAACAAAATATCCTATGAGATGTGGTTTGAGCACAAACCAAATATTTCACATATTAAAACTTTTGGTTTTGTGTGTTATGCAAAGACACCAGATCAAAAAAAGGTATAAATTTGACCCAAAGTCTATTTTGGCTATTCGTATTGGCTATAGTGATATTCTAAAGGTTACATACTCTATGATGTGGAGTCAAAAAAGGTCTTCATTAGTAGGGATGCCAAATTTGATGAAGGGAAAAAATGAAACTGGAATAGTGGAACTGTGGAAAATTTTGGAAAATGTGTTTTCTAGTATTGATGAGCAGCTGCAAGGTAATGTTTTTGAGTTAATTGACTTGGAGGATGAGAGTTTGGCAATTAGGGGCACAAGGTCACTCCAAGACATCTGTAACAGATGGAGTTTGGCAATTACAAGTCCTACAAGTTTTGTAGAAGCTCAAACTAATGCAAATTGGAAGGTAGCAATTGGTGCAAAGATAAATATGATTATGAAAAATGTGGAACTTGGGTACTAGTTGACAAACCAAGCAATCAAAATGTCATTAGGGTTAAGTAGATCTACAGAACCAAGTTAAATTTAGATGGCATAATCAACAAATACAAGTTTAAGTTAGTTGTGAAAAGGTATGCACAATACTTATGGCATTGATTTTTTTTTTTTAGAAATTTTGCTCCTGTTGCTAAGCATGAGACTATTAAGCTATCGACTGCTCTATAAGCTAAAGAGGGCTAGAAAATATTTCATTTGGATGTGAAGTTAGATTTTCTAAATGGCATCCTAAATGAAGATATATATATATATATATATTACACAACTTCAAAAGTCTGAAAATAAAGTATGCAAGCTTGTTAAAGCTTTATATGGTCTCAAGCAGCCTCTTAGAGCCTGGTATGAGAGAATTGATGATTATTTCAGAGGTCAAGGGTTCAACAGAAGCATAACTGAACCTATTATTTATGTGAAAAGCTCTAATGAATCAGTTATGCTGATTGTTGCTTTGTATGTGGATGATTGTTGATTACAAGGCCAGATATTGAATATCTGAAAGAATTTAAGGAATAGATGAGGTCTGCATTTGAAATGATAGACTTAGGTTTAATGTCATACTTTGTGAGAATGGAAGTTCAACAAAATTCTAGATAAATTTTTTTGCATCAGTTT